CTGATTTAACCCCAAATACAAGTATTGTTCCAGGGTTTGATGGTGCAAAAAATCTTGATTTAACCTCCCCTTACTCAGGCTCTAAAGTGGTAGTATTCTGGGAGTCAATTTGAAAAGTTACCCCCCCCTTCAAGGAGCGGGTAAAGGACCCCCAAACGTTACTGGGCCAAAAAATGTTTTTTCCCGGGGTTTGGTAAGGGGGGAAAAAGATGGAAGGGAGGGCCCCCCAGGGCCCCACCGGGCAGGGAACAATCCGGGCCCGGGAAAACACATCGGGGGGACTCCCCAAGGGACATTCGGGGGCAGGACCCGGGCAGGCCCCGGGCGGGGGCCCAAAGGGGGTGGGCTGGGGCGGGAAACCCTTGGTGAAAACAAGCCCCCAAAAACGGGCAAAATTTTCCCCAAAAAACACCAAAATTTTATCCCCCAACCCAAACATCCCCAAAAAAGATCCTTGGGGGCATTCCACTTCCCCGGGGGGGGGGGCCCCCCAAAAAAACCCCCACCCCCCCCCCCCCCCCCCCCCCCCCCCCCCCAACCCCCCCCCCCCCCCCCCCCCTCCCCCCGGGCGGAGGGCCAACCCCCCCCCCCCCGGAGGCCTCAGAGGGCAACAGCAGGCTGGGCAAGCAACCCCGGGTGGACTCCCGGGCAGAGGCACATCGGGGGGACTCCGGGCAGGGCACACGGGGGGGATCGGGCAGGGACCCGGGCAGAGGCACACCGGGCAGAGGCAAGGGCAGAGGCCCCACGGGTGGATCCGGGCAGAGGAAAATGGTTACAAAGGGGAAGCAGAGGCACCGGGCCCCCAGGTGGGGGAGCAGGCACCGGGCCCCAGGGGGAAACAGGCAGGGGCCCCCGGGCGGAGCAGCAGGCACGGGCCCCCGGCAGAGCAGAGGCACCCGGGCCCCGGGCGGGGGGGGCAGGCATCGGGCCCCCCGGGCGGGGCGGGCCCGGCATCGGGTCCCAGGGGGGGGGGCCGGGGGGGGCCCCGGGGCCCGGGCCCAGCCCGAGCCTAGGCCGCTAGCACAGCATCAGTGAGACTGCCGCGGTGAAATGGAGAGTGTGACACACGTGGCAGGGGGTAGGGTGGGGGGACAGGTCTCGGGCCCTCAGGCGTGGTGCGAACAGCGCCGGACCCCCAGGCGGGAGCGGACAAGGTCGGCGCTGGCCCCAGGCGGAGCGGCGGGGCGCCGGACCCCCATGGCGGAGCGACAGGTCTCGGGCCCTCAGGCGAACCAGCGACAGGCAGCTCAGTCCTACATTTCCAGGCAGGGCCAGCGGGCTCCGAAGCCCAGAGCTGAGCATGGACCAGAGGCCCTGGCAGAGACGCCGGGGCCAGCGCCATTGTATCGACACTGGCCCAGCAGGGAGCCGACAGGTACCTCACCCCAGGCGAAGTTCGCGGGGCTGGACCCACAGGAAGGAGACGGCGCCTTCCGGAACCAGGCGGAGCGCATCGGTGGGCTCCGGAGTCTAAACTGGTTACCGATCACCGGCCGACAGTGGGCTACGCAGTACAACCAGCATGACCGGTGGCACTGGGTCATACATTGGATCGTCTGACTGGACAGAAGGCATCGGGTCACCAGAGGCATCTAGGTCATTTGGCTCGACAGCGAGGCACCGCGTCAATCTGGCAAGGCAGTGGGGGCTCCGAGTCAACTGGTAATGACCGCGGGCCACTGGGGTCAGACATTGGTATCGTTCTGAGCCTGGACAGCGGGCATCGGGTCACCAGGGCCATTCAGGTCATTTGGCTCGACAAGCGAGCACAGGTCATCTGGCAAGGCAGTGGGCTCCGAGTCAACTGGGGCATGACAAGCGGGCACTGGGGCAGACCATTGAATGTCTGGCTGGACAGCGGGCATCGGGTCACCAGGCCATCAGCGGTCATTTGGCTCGACAGAAGGGTCACGCGTCATCTTGGCAAGGCAGGGCTCTCCGAGTCAATCTGGCACGAAGTGGGCACCGGGTCATTCAGGTAATTGGATTGTCGGCTGGTCTCGACAGCGGGCATCGGGTCACCAGGTATGACAGCGGGCCCACTGTGGGTCACAGCGCATCAGGTCATTTGGCTTGCCAGCATGCACGTGTCATCTGGCAAGGCAGTGGGGCAACGGGTCACCAGGCATTGGATCGTCTGGCTCGACCGGGGATCTGGGTCACCATTGTATGAACAGCGGGGCACTGGGTCACCAGGCAATCAGGATTCATTTGGCATGCCAGCAGCATCGCAGTCATCTGGCCAGTAGGCAGTGGCTGCACGAGTCAATCACAGGGTTATGACAGCGGCTCTGAGTCGAATTGGCCACGACAGCGGGGGCACCGATCAGTACCGGATTTATTTCATCTGGATCAAACAGCGGGCATCGAGTCAACTCAGGCCTAATAGGATCGTCAGGCTGGGATAGAGTTCATCACGCTGGGTAGAGGCATCAGGCCGAATAGAGGCATTCAGGCCGAGTAGAGGCTTCAGGCGAGTAGAGGCATCAGGCCGAATAGAGGCTTCAGGCCGAGTAGAGGCTTCAGGCTGAAGAGAGGCATCAGGCTGCGTACAGGCATCAGGCCGAGTAGAGGCATCAGGCTGCGTACAGGCATCAGGCTGAGTACAGGCATCAGGCCTGAGTAGAGGCTTCAGGCTGAACCACGGAAGGCAGGTTTCACGGTTTGGATACTGGCAGGATGGTACTGGTGGGAAAGAATTTCGTTCGCTTTTTTCTGGTTTTAACTACTGGGGCACTGCAAGTAAACGCAGGTCTGCAAACGAATGGAGCAGCTGGAGACAGAGAAGAGCTGGAGGATGGAACAGGGGAAGGAACAGTTGCTACAGAGGCTTCTTTACAGGGTTAAAGGCAGGATAGGTGCAGCGAGTGGGAACAGGGTACTGACATGCGGTAGATAGCAGGGCAGGAGGAGCTGTTGGAATGCAGGAATAGAGCTTTGAGGAAATAGATTAGAAGCAGGACTGGGTCTTTGTAAGCTGACTGAGGCTGGGTGCAACAAATCTGTCCATGTCTGCAGTATGGGTTGAACAAAGCTGAGCTTACACAAAGCCTGTCTGACCAAAGACTGCACTGCGTTTATACAATCTCTTAGTACCTGTGGTGAACATGTGGAATCACGCTCCAGAAAGTAATCCACATGATCCTCTAATAACCACACTAGGGACTCTACCTGGTCTGCACTAAATGGTGGCAAAAATGAGTTTGATAAGCATACTCTTTGTCATCAAACACTAGCAGATATAAATACACAACCTCATCAAGATCCATCTTTCCCATCAACAAACCAAGATGGCTTCCCTGTGCAGCCACTTCTGGTTAGGATTGGCCTTGGTGTAATGTCAGGGCTCCAGGGTATGACCAGAGGTGTGTGACTGACGCAGGGAAACGCAGACTTCAGATATGTTATAAACAATGTAATTTATTAACACTAACCATACAAACATAAACGCAGTGCAATACTAAAACATAACACAGTGCAAACAAACCAACCAACCACCCACAGATAACAGTACATACAATGCAAGCGTCGTCAGGCAGGCCGGGTCAATATCAGTCGGGCAGGTAGGTACAGGGGGAGCAAGCGGAGAATGGTCGGGGTCACAGGCCAGGTTCAGCAGGTAGCGGGCAGCGTGGTACAGAGGGTCAGGCAGAGGAGAATGGTCAGACAAGCCAGGGATCAGAGCAGGGTCAGCAGAGAATCAGACAGGAACAGAGAGCAGGAACAGGATACAGGGCCCAAGAGAAACACAACACCAAGGCAGAGTCTGCAGGTCTGAATGTCCCTTAAATACACCAGTATAATTAGTTCCAGGTGTTTGACTGGCTGCAAGTTTGAGTCTCTGATTGCTGGGAGCACCCGCTGGCCAGCCCTGGTACTGCAGCTCATAAGGCAGCTGAGTCCCACTATTGCTGGCCAGTCCATTCCTGACAAGGCTAGTCAGACAACAGTCGAAAACCCCATGACCTCTGACCTTCTCTTCAGGTCTCAGACACAAAGCCAGAGAATTTATCATCCTCAGGAGCCCCTGCAACTGGACTTTTCTGCAACATTCATCTGGAAGTATCTTTATTAATAACTATATATACCCAGGTATATGTGCACAATTCCAGCAGGACTCTTGTAGTGCCCTTTTGCTGATAATACCTGTTAGTACATTGTGCATTTGCTATTTATTTCTTCTTATATAAAGCTTGTATTATTTCCATGTTAGTGTGCATCTATGTACTTATGGTTACTGTTATATGCTGGTTGCAGTAGTTATTATGACGTCCTCCCAGAGCGGGAGAACCACCTTGCGCCCGTCATTACCTTATATGGCGGGCAGGAGGAGGTTAACCCTTTGATGCCGAAGTAACACAAATATGTGACCTCACAGAACTGGGCTGTTTTCCATGGGGCCGCATATTTGTGCTGGAAGCGCACCACACGCTGTGCTCCCAGCACAAAGATCGCGGTGTTACTGAGAGCCTCGGGTCCCATTCTAACGATCGGGACCAGGGACTCCAGATTCCAGGTCACATGATCTCTGTGATAGCCTTTGATTGGTTGTCACAGTGATCAGTCACTGTACAGTCCAGTCCCCTTGTTTTTTTTCTCTCTCTATGAATGGAGGAGAGAGATACATTGTATCTCTCTGACTCCTGGAATAGAGGGGAAAAAATGTATGTGAAAAAAAAAAAGATAAAAAAATAAAATAAAAAATATCTAGATCAAGGTTTGATCTAGTTCAGTGCCAGGGTTAGTTTGGGTCAAGGTCAGGGTCAAAGGTCAAGGTCAAAAAGTCAGGGTCAAAGGTCAGGGTTTTAAAAAAAGTGGTATCAGTGTCAGTTAATGTCAATGTTAGTGTCAGTGTGTTTTAGGTAAAAAAAAAAAAAAAGACGAAAACAAAATGCGCACTATTGTTTCTGGGCTGTACTACGAGTACAAACAACAAATAACATACACATATATGGTATTGCTGCAATCATCAAGAGCTGGAAAATTTATTTTGGGTTGTTCTTTGGTGGTAGGTTATGGTAGTAACAAGAAACACACAGCTTAATAAAACAAAATGATTTTTTTTTTTTACTATTTTGGGCCAGTTTTTTCCTTTGATAATTAAAAAAATCAGGAGATATCCATTACCATTTACCACCAAATGAAAGCCTAATTTGTCCGGAATAAAACAAGGTATAATTCACCTGGATATACAAAGTAGTTGTGATGATATGTACGGTTTTATTAACACTTGTCAACATTGCAAAATTGTGCTTAGGCATTTAGATTTGTTTTACACTTAGGTGTGAAGGGGTTAAGGATCTGGTGAATGGCAATCGCACTGGAACAATAATAGTCTGTCAGTGTCACTGAGACAGATCTGAGCGGCAGAGGACCAGATCACTATGCAAGGTTGTATGGTTTCCCTGGTAGCAGGTTGAGATGCCTCAGAGTATAATTGAGCAGCAGCAGACAGATTCAGACACTTTACAGGACTAATGCAGGCCATACATGGTTCGAATTCACTTTTTCATCCGAAAATCGAAAATGTAATTCGCTCTGTAATCCGATGGTGCCATCAATGATTTCGAAAATCGGCCGATCAAGTCATAAAGTTCACCCCATATAACAGCTGCAACTTATGTCCCTTCCAGGTCACGGCTCATATTCTTTTCTGAAAGACGATCATACGATTTGACCATCATTGAGGAACCACGAAAATCAGCCAGTGCCATTGACCCACTAACAGAGTGAAGATCGGCCGATTATGCTCAGGTCTGATTTTTGGATGAAAAAGCGGTCGAATTTCGACTCATGTATGGCCAGCCTTAGTCCAGCGATCAGAAACAGTAGTGAGCAGCTTTCCGGGTAATCCAGACCTACTGACCGCTCAGTGATGCAGCCACGAACTGATCCCCCCAACTTTCTCTTTCTTTCCTTCTTGTCTCTCAGCAGCAGCAACTGACATTCTCCTCTGAACTTGCGGTGAACGCTCAACAAGCCGAGCCAGGCTTTTCCATTTATACCCCCTCTTTTGGAATGCCCCCAGGTACATTGGGGCTTGTTGTTTTTATTCCAGCAACTGCAATAGCAACACTTATAGCCCAGACTACATCTCCCAGCATTCTGTGTCCTATATTTGAGAATCAGGTGCTCAAGGCCTCTACTGGCTCCATTGTGTGATGGAAAAAGGGAACTGAATTCAGGGAATTTTACAATAATACATTTAAGGTGCTGCATAATTCAGTAACAGCAATTCTGGTTACAGTCGTTCCTGATAGGACCGTTTTGTCAGTTGACAGCTGTCTACCTTATAAAATAAAAATTATCAGGATCAGGAAGTCCTTTATGTATGTAATGGTTGAAGATCCTTCTTTTTGCTAAGCCATGCCTTTTTTGCAGAATGTTTTAAATTGAAAAACACAGTACCAGTACAATCAACAGGTAAGGTCAGGGAAAACATGGCCATGCACTAATCACTAAGATCACTAAGATCATATATATTATTTAGTGCTAATTTTCATGGTCATAATGCTTGTAGACCTGATCCCACATGAGATATTCTACCACCATCTGTTTAGTAACATAATCTCTCATTCTACTGATATGATCATAAACCAAGCCCTCACATGTGAAAAGCAGTGTCCTTGGAAAATATGGAAACCACTTTGTTCAGACACTATCTGTGCCAATTTAAAATGCCACGGATTGCTCTGTTGTGTCAGTAAAACAGATGATTGTGTATATGTAACATGAAATGACAGAGACCACAGTGTTCTTGTATTTCATAGTTCTGAAATGTGTCAGTGGAGGAAACTACTGCATGGGCACTGATGGGAGCCAATGTATTCCACTGACTTCACTTTGTTGTGAAAAGACAAATATGATATAAACCCATTCAGTAATATATTTATGCGCTAATAATTTCTCACAATGGGAGTAAAACTAGATAATACTCAACTTGTTAACCCTGCATGTAGTTTTTTTTTATTTTTGTGAAATATATATATATATATATATATATTGCTCCATTATTAAAATTAAAAAAATTAAAGGAACACTTTTTAATCAGAGTATAGCATCAAGTCAATGAAACTCCTGGGATATTGATCTGGTCAGTTAAGTAGCAGAGGCTGTTTTTCACTAGTTTTGCATTTGGCTAGGGTCAGTGACATTACTGGTAGCATGAGGCGATATCTGGACCCAGCAGAGGTTGCACAGGCAGTTCAACTCCTCCAGGATGGCACATCAATACATACCATTGCCAGAAGGTTTGCTGTGTCTCCCAG